TTGGTGGTAATTCAGATGGAAGCTCATTTGGAGTGATATCTTGGAATTGCCGTAAGAGCTATTACACCTCTTCTAGAAGATCTAAAATAGTGGCAATTCGTTGTGAAATCTTGGATACCAGAATAAAAACAATCGTACTTTCTCTGCTTTCTTGCACAAATCGTTTTTCTATCAGAAGATGCAAGTTGTGGGTTTTGGGTTTTGTGCCTTTTGATCTACTTGAGCTTTTGCCATTGTTGTCAAGCTTTGCAAGATGTAATAGGATCGTCTTGCCTCCATGCTTAAATGTATAGGTATTCTCACGACCATGGTTGATGACATTGTGGTCATAAAGCCATAGTTGACCAAGTAGAATGTGAGCAACATCCATTAGATGAACATTACAAATATTATCTTCTTTATAGTCACCTAATTGAAGAGGAATGTAGCACTGTTGGGTGACTGGTAAAGAAGTTTTGTCGACCCATATGACAGGAAAAGGCTCTAGGTGAAGTTTTGTCTTGAGGCCACTACTCCTTGACTAGAAATGACATTTCTAGAACTCCCTCCATCAATCACTAACTTACAAGCTTTGTCTCCACACTTCACAAAAGTATGGAAAATATTTGTTCGCTTCCATGAATCACTAGGTAGAGGAACTGAGAGAATGCATCGCATTAACTCTAACTCAATGTGTCTCGCATCTATGTTCATAAATGATGATCTACTCATCGACATCTGAAGGAAACTCAATCAGATCTATGAGAAGGTCAGCATTTGTATTGTCCTTCTCGTCCTCACATTGTGAGTCAATAACTAGAGTACGCTGTGGGCATTTCGATGCAATGTGATTCTTTGAATGACAGCAAAAACACTCGACAAAAGAATTGCAAGGGTGGGAAGTAGGAACTATAGCCTCATTAGGCTTATAGGTATTATCCTAGAACCCAATTGCTTAAGCAGGTGTAAAAGACAAGTTGGGTCTAGAAGTAGATACTCTTGTAGGTCGCTCAGACAAACTGGAAGTTCGAGCTTGTCTAAACTGATTGCTCCGTATGTTAGTACGCTTGATAGACGAGTATTGTGATAGAGACTCTATTTCCAAAGCCTTATGATAAGCTTCTTCGAGGGACTTTGGAAAGTTTAACTTGAGTTTCTTCTGTATATACGACTTAAGTCCATTAACAAACTTGGTAATGGTACGCCACACTTCATCCATGTCACACCTATTTATAAGGTCATCGAATTGGTATGTATACTTGGAAGCTGTGGAAACTTGTCTTAGATTTAGGTATTTGTCATACAGATGACTCTGATAATGAGTCGGCACATATTTTTCTTTTAGCTTGGCCTTCTTTTCCTCCCATATCTCAATTGGTGGATAGCCTTGTAGCTCAATATTTCTTTGGACATTTTGCCAATACTTTCTAGTAGTACCCATAAGTTTTATCTTTGTAAATTGAACTCGTTGAGTATTACTTATGTCATATCATTGAAAATAATCTTCCATGCTGGCTAACCAATCTAAGAACACACTAGGATTCAATTGTCCATCAAATTCAGGAGCCTCCACTTTGACTTTCTTTGTGATGTCATCAGTATGTGTCCTTCTAAGGCTTTCTCTACCATTTCTATGGACTGGCTAATGTGGTCTATAATGTTCTTCTTTTGGCCCTTGTCTATCCCAAGTATCATCTATGTCATCAAATTGATAATTGGTAAACTCACGAGGAGATGGTCTACTGTGTCTTTCACCCATAGCTTCAGAGAAATGACCAATCCTAAGGGAATTACCCCTAGGTTGATTATAGACTGGGAATTGCTCTTTTCTAAGGCTTAACTCTCCTCTAATGATAGGTCTTTCAAGCAGCCTTTCAGTCGTTTTCCCTATATCTTGTTTGCATATTAACTGAATTGCACTCATTATCTCTTCAAATCTATTGTTCATAAATTCTTCAATTTCATCAAGCTTAAGTTCACGTATGCCTTTTGAGCCTTTTTAGATTCGTTAAGATGATTGAGTGATTTGAGAGTTATTGGCCATAGCAGATTTTAGGGTAGTAATTTCTTGGTCTATTAAAGCTTGTTTATTGTATAAATCACGAATGGCCATACAATAACAAAGGTGGTATGGTAATGTGTAAGTTTGGGGTGGATTGAGTAACCTAAGGAAGAAAGGCCCCCAAGTTGCCCTCAGCTGGATAGGTGAAATCCCTTTCTAACAATACTAATCCTCTGAGATTCAAAAATTCTACAGAGATCGTATGCTACATAGGTAACTCAAGTGAATCTTCACAGTAATCTCTGAAGGTTCAAAAACCTCTCGAGAAAACCGTTAGAAATTTCGACTAACCTAAGGCAATTTCTTGGACTCGGGTATAGGCCCGAATTGTGTGTGAGGTAGGTGTCCTAGGTTATATGAATACTGCTATCAAAAGTCACAAATCAACAAGATAATGATCAATGCAAATTCTTTTTTTTTTTAATTTAGAATATTAAACTAAACACGATTAAAAAATATAAAAATTGCAATGTTCAAAGAAACTTAAGTACTAAACAACAAAGATATCAGACCTAACTATGAATAGAATACCTCCTTTTAATAACCAAATAAGCTAGTTAAATGAGAGGGTCGTCAGCCTTACATGCTTTGCTTTAGGAGCCTAAAACAAGATATTTTACCCCCAACTAAGTTTTAGACGATGACTTGTGCGTCTTAGGTTCTTTAGAGTTGAAGAAATTTTGTAAATACACAAGGAAAATGTTGAAGTTCAGGTTTTGGCGACCTGTACGAACGGTGCATGAAGACCACGTGCAAGATACTCCACCTGCGCGTGATGGTGCTGCAGTTGTGGATGGAGGTGGGTTTTCTGGTTTTGACTGGGTTTCCCCTCTTGAGCATGATGGTGGTGTTTGTTTTGGGATTTGATGTCTAGAAGTGTAGCGCTGGGTTCTGGCAGCATGAAATAGAGTATGCTAGGCTTTTTAGTGAGTTTTCCTCCTATCTTCGACAAGGCGACAACTGGAACAGTCTAGGAGCGTTCAGAGTCTTTGTCTAACACCAAGTTGCTGTAACACGAACACTCACGCTCACATTGATTTAAATAGAATAGGATAAGGGAAAAGAATTAGAAGCAAAGACTTAGATGGGAGAGGGAAATGAGAACAGAGAGAGAGGAAATAGAAGAGGAAGGACAGAACAAAGAGGGAGAGTGAAGAAAACAAGAATAGAACAATAGGGGAAACAAGAGAGGGAGAGGCTGAATGCAGAGAGAAAGGGATGGCTATCAAACTTTACTCATAATTTTCATTCATTCATCAAGTCTGCTTTTGAATGCACAAGTCATGCTATTTATAAGTATGAGATTTCCTTCCTAACAAGGAAACCTCTACCCATTTGCTGCCTGGTTTCCTTCACAAGAAGGAAACTTACAAAAGTTAAGTGAAAAGCAACAAAGACTAATAAACTAATGAAAAGCAATAAAAAAACTAATAAACTATTTCCTTCTAAAGTAATGTTTGCCATGTTTTCTATCAGTACCTTCTGACTTTCTTCACATTTAATCATATTGAAGGCCTCTTCCAGTGTCGGCAGTGGTTTAGCACTCATAATTCGGCCACAAACTTCTTCAAATGAATCTTTAAGACCTAAAAGAAACTCATAACAGCGTTCTCGGTCAACTAGTTGTTTGCAGTATAACTCTTCTTTAGTGCACAACCAAGTATGAACCTCGTATAGATCAATTTGTTGCCATAAGCATTTTAATGCACTAAAGAATTGAGTGACAAAAAGATCACCTTGAATTAGTGGCCATAGTTGACGCTTGACTTGAAATATGGCTGCCTTGTCCTTAACAGAGTAGGTTGTCTTGACTGAGTCCCATATCTCCTTGGTAGAGGTAGAAAGAAGATAATTTTCACTAATTTTTGGCATTATCGAGTGAATCAACCAGGCCATCACCAAATTATTCTCTGCACACCATTTGTCATATGTCGGGTCTGTAGGATTTGGTGGTGAAGGAACCCATGTTAGGTAACATTCTTTTTGTCAATCACATATGATCATCGGCATACTACGGGACCACTGGAGATAGTTATGCTCAGTAAGATAGTGCGAGACAAGGTGTAGTGCAAAGTTAGACAAGCCCATTGCAGTGGACAATAGCCCATCTTCTCCTGTCGAGTTCGAATGTTGGGACGACGAGCCTCTACTTGCTAGAGGATTAGATGGATCCACATTTGTAGCAGGGACCTGCTTCAGAAAACATAGTGTTGTGCGATAATCCATCATGTTGCGGCGGGCTCTGATACCATGAGATTTTTTGCGTAGAATTTCTTGTCTTTATTCATTGAGAACCAGAGTACATACATAGAGACCAGGGATACGATCGAATCTGATCAGATTAGGGAAAATAGATCTAAATAAGAAAAGAACCAAATATTTGGAGATATAAAAGTAAATAGGAAATATCCTAAAATCAGGTTATATTAGGTAATTTAGGTCAGACTCTTTCTAATGGGCCTAAGAGAAGCAAGCCCACTTCTAATAGAGAGTCCTTGTTTGGATATAATGATGGCTTGGTTGAAGGATGACTGTCATGCAACCAATGTGGATGCTTACATTTGTTGTGCTAAACTTGTACTTAGCCTATTTTTATAATTTCTTTAAGTTGTTAATTCAATTTGCCTCTCTTCTGTTGCCCCTATTCTCTCATTTTGTTGGTTTTAAGCGTTATCTAAAATTGAAATGTAAATGTTCATTTCTAATCTTGTACTTGGCAATTTGTGTACTACTTTCCTTCATTTTGAACATTATACTCCTTTCATATAAAATTTCTTTTTGAGTGAAATCCTTGTATTTAGAATTTTAACTCACTCTTTTCTTTGAATATGCCTCTTGTTTTCTGTCCTCTGATCCTTCTGGCATTACAGTAAAATAGTTAAAGCTGCTGTGACAATTTGAATTTTAAATTATAATGATGAAGCTTTGTGCCTAATAAGAGCCATCACTTGAAGGGAAGACAAGAGAGATTTCGTTATGGGATGCCCTGAAATGCAGCATTGGGATGGCTTTTTTGAGTATAGGTTGGTGAAGTAAGCCTTTTGAATTCCGGTCAACAAAAATTATCACCTGATGTGATGTATAGTTATCATGGAATTTTTTTTTTTTTTTTAAAGTTCTGACCTTGAGACTATCGTTCCCTCAACAGGTCTTACTGTGTTGATTGATTCAGTTTTCTGGAAGAGGTTATTGTGGCCTGAATTTGAAGTATTTTGGTTTAACTCAGTGCTTAACAGGAGTTCTGAATGGGGTGTATCCTTATTCAAAGTTCATTTTATTGCACTGTTGTATATCTCTAGAATGTAGATATTTATGTTCTGTATATGTTATGGGCAAAGTTGATGCTGATTGCTGGCTGCACTAGCAGCATGAAGCGAGAAGTTGCAGGTAAAGTTTCTCATTTTTCTATTTTGTTTATAGGTTTATGCTTATGGGGCTTATTGCAGTATTTCAAAGACCCTGCCTGGTTCTAACATATTCTTAGATAACTGCTTGAGTGAATTGTAATGCTTACCTGTATTATTAAATCGGTCAAGTCTGTTTGGTTATTGTTTAATTTAAATAGATTAGGTTTGATTTCCCATAGATTCATTAGGCTAACGGAGACAGGCATGTTGTCTTTGCTTCAATCTGATTGCAATCATCTTCCTCTTTTCACACAGGCAAATTGGCTGAAGGAAGGTTGATGCTCTTGTCTTACAATCATAATTCATAATGGAATAAATAACAAAACCACAAAAAAAAAATACACCAAAATCTACTAGGCTACCACCCAAAAACTAAAACACAAGCTAATGATGTGAAACATTGTTGATGAGAAATGAGTTCTGATTCCATAACAAAGATGTGCTTTGAAACTCTATTTCAAATGCTAACAGTACCATGGATGAAAATAAGGCAATGGTTGGTTGGTTAACAAAGATTATCTAACAGTACCATGGATGTCTCTGGTTTCAATCCACCAGCTGTTGGACCTCCACTTTTGACTGATTCTGGAAATTTATCATTGCCATGGAATCAACCTGGGAACATTTCATCTTTTTAGCTTCTCCCCTGTTTTCTTTAGTTTTATGGTATGGGCAGTCTGGTTTCTTCCCTACCATAACTAAGAATATATCCTGTAAATATCCTATTCATTGCTTTATTTGGCCCTAAACCTATCAAACTGAAAGTTCTATTCATGGAATGTTCAAAAGATGCAAATAATGTCTGAATTAACCATAAAACCAATATCCTTTTTGCTGCTATTGGGCCTTCCCTGAACATTCAATATATGAATCTTTCTATCGTAGCTTCACTGTTGAAAGCATAATTTTCAGGCTACTAAATTTAAGTCACCATGCTATCCTACTGAAGGGATATTGAATTGTGCTTGCACACACTTTCTTTCAACTTTTCTTAATCCTTTGAATGCCAAATGTGCTAGAAACCCTTTTGCACAGAGGCACTTGTGGACTGAAATTTTGCATTTTGTCACAATCTTTCCTGATTTACAATTGTAATGGGGTTTTATACAGTTTAAGTTTGCCTTGGACATCCGGGGCATTTGTGCTTTAATGTGTGACAATGCTTTTATGTCATGGTCTATTATGCTCTAATTATGGTAGTTGCTTGAATTTTTGGCCATGTTCTGTTGTTAGCTTTTCATAATATTTTTCCCACATGTTTATTTCCTTTACAATATTTGTTTAGACACATGCTTTCCATTGGTACTTCTCCTCAGCGCTCCCTCGTTCATTGCTTGCTGCATATCCTCTTTCACTGGTGGGTGTTGGGTAATAAAAATCTGTCGCCTGTTATGATATTGAGCTGGCTGCTTAATAATTTGCTAACTTGGCATAATGGCTCATTTATGCTTCCATTGACCTGATTAATACGATGTATATGTGTATATATATATATATTTTGACAAGTACACTTTTTGGGTATTCTTTTTGAAACATTACTTTTGATTCCTGTCTATCATCTATGAAGTTGAACCTAAAATTTCATTGTTTTGAGCTTCTTTTGGTTTAATGTTTTTTCTTGGTATCATTTACTTTTCAATTAACTATATTAATTGTAGAATATTTCATGTCTATACTTCATATTTCTTGAAAATTTCATTTCAGTTTTATTTACTCACTAAATGCTTATCCCTTCACGCTAACCCATTTCCTCACATACATACCCCTGCACTAGCCTATTCCCTCTTTCTCTCTCACTTCATCAATCGTGGATCATTAGACCGGGGTTCATCATATTCTTAGTTGCATTACTTTTGGAAGATCTCATTTAATGTGTTGTAAGACTATTTAGTTTTTGGCAGTCATGTTGCAAGGAAATTGGAGATATGGACTTTCTTATGCAATAAACATAGCATTTGTCGTAGTAAAATGCATCATTGGTATGATAAATTGAACTAAGAGAAGGGATAAGTTTGTGCAGCTAGGAGAATAGTATATAGAATGAAATGGGGAATAGAAAGACTTTTCCAAGCCCATTTTCGTTTTTATTAGTGCCATGCCATGATATGTGCACTTGATTTTTTGATTTACAGTTTAAAGATTATTTCACATTAGAGTATTGCTTTTTCGAGGGCAAGGATGTTATTTAGGATGATGTTTATGAACAATCACTTTTCATCAGTTGTGTTGTTTCTTGTTATGTTTTCATTGTGAGATTATTATTGTGATGGTCATCATTAAGCGTCACTAGCGTTCATTTTCTAAAGAAACATCTCCGTTATATGGAATATGGAAATGTCAATGAACAGTGAATATATATAATTTGAGTGATGGATGTCAAGATTCAACAATTTGCTTTTAAGTAATTGCCAACCTGCTTCTAGTACTTGAGGCAATTTCATTCCTCTTCCTCTTCTAAAATAACCAAGAACCAAAAAGAGTATAAAAAGAATGGTAAAAAATGAAATCCCATCACTTTTCCTAATTTGGTTGGTTGTTTTCTTTTCAGCTCAGTCTTTTTCTGGACGGAAGGGTTCGATCTTTTATTTTCCCAGTTCTTTCCTTTATTCTAATTTACTCCAAGCTTCCTCACAAGGTAGGATGCATGCCATTTGAACTCATAGCTTGAATTGTGCATGTTTTATATTATAAGCATGTTTGCATCATCATTTTGATTGATGCTGCAGGAGCTTCGTTTCATAGTAAGTTCAGTTCCAATATTTAACCTGTCTGCTTCAATTGCAGCTAACAGAATGTAAGATCCCGTTGCAACAATTGTCTTTGTTTTTTTTGTTTTTTGTTTTAAATATAGTTCTAAGTTGCAACCATTGCTTGCTTATTAAAACTATATAAAATTTTGATTTCATGATGTGATAAAATGAACAATATTCAATCATGTCATTAAAAAAATAAAAAATTGATACCTTAACCTTTTACTTTTTTCTCTCAGCTGTTTCCTAAGTCTCTCAAATCATCAAGTCTTCGTGGACCTTTACTACCAATTTCATTGAAATGATTTGCTATGTAACCATTGTCTGACTAGGATTTATTTCAAAGGTTCTCTTTGATTTGAACTGAATGGAAAAATGTGAACTTTTTAATGAACCAATCAAATCAATCCAAGTTTTGAAGGACAACAATGAAATCTATGTATTCTTAAGCAATCAAAGTTTTGAACTGTATTGTACACGAGTACGCAAGTTGGTCTATTGTGAAACAAGCATGTAAAAATATTTCGCTTGAACATTTATAATTTGCGTAATTGCATTACATGGCATTGCTTTAAAGTGACAATTCATTGGGCTGATATGTATTAATATTTTCCATTCTGGATGTCATGATTTTGCATTGGTCTAACTTGTAGTATATAACCAGTGATTTTTCTTGCTACCTATCTTCCACATGCTTTTCTATCTACTTTGGGGGAGGGAAGGGTATTGGAGTTTAAGTGCATTTACATTTATAATGGAGACTTAAAATGGAAGAGACTTCTTTCATTGAATAATTAATTTGTCTGATCTCTGGGTCATGTGCTTTTTCATGTTAGGAATTACCAACTTGAATCACGTGTTATGATATGTTTCAGTTACAACAATAAAAAGAAGCCTTTTTGGAACCTGCTTTTCTTCATTTTGTTGGGACTATTGTCAGTCAGGTTGGTCTACTAGTCATTTGTTTTGTTTGTGATGGTTGTATTCTTCAATTGTGTACTTATTTTTATATCTTGTAGTGTAGGATGCTCCATTACAACTTTCATGGCATCATACTGGAATTATCCTAGTGGGCATGCCTTAAAAGAATTGCATCGAACTGGTGAGCCCATGAATCTTAAAATGTTAGTGAACTTGCTGCCCAGTGGTAAGCTAGAATTTAATTGGTGAAAATTATTGTTGTGTCCTTATGCCCGTTTGGTAGCAAGGAATTGAGAGGAAGGAAAAGGAAGTGGAAGTGGAACCCATAAATTAGTATGTTTGGTGTGCATGAATTGGGTTCTCTAGGGAAGTGAGTTCCATTAAATCTGGTGGAATTGGGTTCCTTAGATAGACCCATGGAACTGAGTTCCTACCTCATTTCCTCTCTTATTTTGTCATCTTTACCCTCAAACTCTCTCCTGCCATGTTCCAACTTTCAATGAATGACCCACTCCTCCCTCTTCTCCGGAACAACGACAATGCCCACCTCTGCTACTAGTCCGACACCCATCGCACTTACACCTCTGTCACCGGGCTTGATCTCTCCGATTCCAATATTGCCAATCTATTCCCCAATCCCATTCTCCACAACTTCATGCACATATATCGCATCTGTGCAAATATAATATTACATGAAATGATATTAAATAAAATTAGTGTAGGCGTGAATCTTGGTTGAAGAAGGATGCAGCGGTGGAGGAGTGCATCTGTGCTATTTTCCTATTGATGCTATTGTAGAAGATCTCATATATTTGTAAATCTAGTTATTGCTCTGAAGGTATATATATGGGTGTGTAGGATTTCAGGGTGAAGGGCCCAGAATGGTGAGGGTTCAACAAATGAGAAGGAAATTGAAAGCTTTAGTGCCACCCTTCTAGTGCATAAAGCGAACATTATCAATGGTGGAACCTTTGGTGTCCATGGCGATGCTTGTTGTGGGAGACGGAGTGGCTACGTTGAGGATGAGCAGCGGTGACGGTGATGCTTGCTTTGCTTCAATAGGTTTTTTATTTTTTTGGGTATTTTGGTCATTTTAAAATATAAATATATTTATTGAATAAAATTTATATCTCACTTCCATTTGCATACCAAACATACTTTTTATCTCACTTCCAATTTCACTTTCACTTCCACTTCCACTTTCACTTTCACTTCCATCAAAAGCTCTTCCTTGCTACCAAACGAGATATTAGTGCAGTATGATGATTGAATCTGTTCAAGAATTGAGAAAGAAGGATTTCTCTAGGAATTCTTAGAATCAGAATAAGTCTAAGAAATTTCCCAAGGCCGAACGAGAATCTCCTGATTCTACTAAACACTGCACTTGTATTTGCTAACAGAGTTTCAATACTGATGGATCCCGTGGCTAATGAGTCATTATGTAATGGGCCGAGTCCAAGCCATGTGGAATGCGTAAGTACTGTGAGAGGGAGAGCGAGATGGAGAGAAGGACTATACGCCGTATATATTTGGGGAGTGACTTTTTTTTTTCCTTTGGTGTTTTTTTTGGGGGGGGGCGCTAGAAAGTGAGTATTGTGAGGGAGGTGAAACACCCCAACAGCAGCCCCCTTCATTTCTCTTCTACTAAAAATTTCTTGGGTCTTCATTGGCACCTTTGCAGCTGTTGTGAAGAGCTCTAATGCTAGTTTGCTTAATGTGAAGAGCCCAAACACCTGGTTGGGCGTAGAGGAAGTTCAACTTTCTTCATCATTTTTCTTTATGCTTGAGTGTCATCTGTTAACAAGCCTTGTTAGAGTATGAGCTTAGTTTTTTTTCCCCCCATTTTTTTGTTAGGGGTTGTACTAAGAGTATCCCTTAGCCTGTTGGATAGAGAGGCGTAGCGGAAGATTAAAATTCTAAAGTTCCTATCCTGATATGGACTGAATGAACTCGTTTACATCAAAGTGGATAGAAGAGTTACCTTTTAATTCTTTGAAGTTAGTGCACATTCTTTTCAAGAGTTTGGATCTTAAAAGCTGATAATGTAGATCTGCTCCCTCTACTGGTATCCACATGAATAGTTCTCTAACTCGAATAGCGTGCCAGCACTCTCAACGCCTTTCTTCTTTAAACATTAATTTTCCTTTCTATAGGGTGTTTCGTGGCTCTCAAAGAGTTTTTGCTGTCGGAACTTTTCTAACTCACATCCTACATAAAGGACGTCCCTATCTATATATAGTATATAGATAAGGGTTTTCGTCTTCCACTTAAAAGCCTATGAAAATTTAATTAAATTTGTCTCATAAATTTAATCCATAATATTATATCTAATTCGAATTTATCTTATAAATTCAAATTATAAAACTGACATGATATTCTCTTATATCATGTTAGTTATTAAATTTAATCTATCATATAAAATTAAATTTAAAACTAACATGATATAATATAATATATAATATAATATATATATCATATATACATATTATATTATATATATATATATATTATCTATATTTAATTTTATATATCATATATCATATATATATTTACATATATGAATATATATATATTTTGAATATATATATATATATATAATTCATTCACCCTATATTACATTTATTGAATCTAGACATATTGTAGATTCAATGAACTTGGACATTATAGCTCGAGTTGGGCTGTTCTTGTGTGCGATCCTGTAGGCCCGTATGAAATTGGCAGTAGGCTAATTACGCTATTAGCCCATAAGTTACAAGTGGCCTTTAGCAAGACATTGCAACTATCCAATTCACATGGGATTGATGATTCAATGTAACCTATCGTGCAACCATATCATATTTCTTTTATCACGCGATATTTTGGTTAAGTACAAGACATAGAATTGTCATTCTCCTTTATCTGATCATTACTTTCTCGATCTCTAAGTAGACTGACAGTAGCAATGAAAAAAATCTCCATTGTAGTACGGCCATACATTTTCTCAGTCTTACTCATCGAGGGGCCTAGTAATATCTCTCACTTAATGCGGGGGATAAATTCCATTTTGACCACTCATATTCCTCTGTATGAATATCACTAAACTCAATCATAGCCTTTATGATCACCCGATCAAAGGTGACTTTTGATTAGGTTAAAGTTCAGTGGTCATCATGTAGGAATCCATGATGATCTCAAGTCAAAGGGTTTAGTGATATAGTTACATATGAGATGGGCTTATGACATGTATCATGCAGCTTTATTATAGTAGGTCAGTCCAGCACCTTGTACTCTTTCAAGTGCCTATGACTTTAATTTATACCTCTATAATTAATCGAAGCCATACTAGTCTTATTTCATCTATGATCCCTCAAAGATGACTGACCAGGGGTATTTAGGACAATCACTATAATTTGTTCAGGGATACAATTATCATATTGAACATGCAATTGTTATGATAATAAAAGAGTAATTCATTAAATAACAATGTGCATAGTACAATGATTGGCCCTAGGGCACAATTTCCAACACAGGCTACGGTCAAAGATTAATCCCCTTCGAGGCTGAGTGATCCCATAAGTGAGCTTGCCTCTCCCAACAAAGTCTTTCGTGCGCATAGCTAGGTTTGAAACTCCTGACTACATGTTTAAGAGACCTAGCTATCTGCCAACTGTGCCGGACCTTGTTGGTTAACTTAATCAACATTTGTGTATCATAGCTACATGACGACATGTCATGGTATTAAACTATTAAGACAACACATCACCTTATACGATTACTAATATAAAAATAGAGCCTAATTTCTGACTTTAAGCCGCTGCGTTCCTGTTGTACGTTAGCAAAGGGCTTCGTGATTAAGAACTCTATCAAATGATTCTGGGATGATTTTGCAAGGGTTGAGGGCCTCTCTATAGGCCAAAGGCTAAGGGTAATTTACAATTATATCTGTTTATAGGATTGGGATTTTATCGCTTTCAAAATACTTATTACGGTGATTCTATCTTTAAATCTTAATGGCCTACTATAACCCTAATTCCTATAATTAAGCTGATTACAATAATTTATAGTAAATAATGAATATTTCATATCTCTAACATATAGTATCATTGTATTTTTTCATTCGGTGGCTGTGGGGGTCAAACTCTTGAGCACACATTTATATTCTGTTAAAGTGTATTGTCCTTGTTAAGGCTCTAGTGCCTATTGTTGATGTTTCTAGTGTGTGGATGCGTCATATACAGTGAGGAGTAACTAATCTCTCTGTAATTATCCGCGGTCAAGCAATATCTGTCGAAAGCATTTTCTAAATTCTCCACCTTATCTTTCTTATCTTTGTCTTACTTGTTTACTTTATCAGCTACCATGAGATATAAAATTATTGGCATTTAACACATTGCCTCATTGTTTGATTCAAATATTTTAAAAGACTGAACAATGATTGAGCTATCTGTCTCATGAAAAATGGGAAAAGTATGTGAGAAGTGATATTTGCTGTGGAATGAGTCATAACTGATGAGTTTATTACCCCGAGTGTGATAAAGACAATGGGTGCCGCTATATAGGGATGAACCAATTCAAAGGAGTAATTATTCCTAAATGCCTGGCCATGCAACAATATTTATTTTATTAAGTAGGGTTGGCTACATGGATTATGTGACACCATTGTGTTCTATCAATAACCAAGTTTTTGGATATATTGTTAACCAAAATTCTCATTTAATAATTTTATTAAGAGTTCTCTTTGGTTTTCTGCTACCTCTACCTGTCTTCACAAGATTTAAGACTATTTTGTTCTCCTTTTTTTTTACCGTCACCTCTAATGATCTTCTTTGTACAAGTCCAAAGTTTGGAACATCCTCATCTCTACTACCTCAACTCAAATGATTTTTTTACCATTTTTCCTTAAGAGATACTGTGCAAACTCTTTCTCTTATTTGTTCATTATGAATCTTATCTTTTGCTGTATGCCCACACACCCATCACAGCATCCTAATCTCTATTACCCCAACTTTATATTCTTGTCCTTTTGAAGCCCATTGACTACCAAATAGCATAGTTTATATTAAAGTCTAGCATAAACTACTGGCCAAAAAGTCTTTTAAAATGTGAAGTTAACTGAATAAAAAGGGCAAGGAATATACAATGAGTCTGATATTGACCAGGAGAAGAATCATAGTTCTACACTATATCCTTTAATGTACCTTTTTATATTATGCCTTCTATGAACAATTCTTGTAGCATTGAAGGTACGATACTCAACTGTTTTTTAGTAGGATGAAGTTTGTTCAACTAATAGTTATGCTCTAGAACATGACTCTATATTTCAATGGCAATATCTATACCAAATGAATTCTGACGCTGATGTTTCAATGCTTGATTGGGTACATCATGGGGATGAGTGACTGGCTAGCATCCTGTTCTTTTATGTCTTTAGAAACGCTGGATGCCTAATAATGTACAATCGAGTACTGTCACATTTCGTTTCTATGATGTCTCTAGGTATTGCACTATCTTAAATCTGTTTACAGAGTCTGTGATTGTTGCTCTTAGCAGGTGTTCTTAACGATGCGAATGAACAGTGGGTTCACATTGACACCTTTTCAGCCATGAATGGTATATCCCGCTTTTGTGAAAGTGATTCCCCGTGGAGGTATATTAAGCTTTTTTCACAATCCCACACTGTTTATTCCATGTTCTACCCAGCCACCCTATCTCCCTATCTCTTAGCTTAAACACTTGAAAGTAATTGTTTCAAATTAAATTAAGATGTGGATTTTTTATAGATTATTTATTCTATAACAAACTCTTATTATTAATATTATTAACACATTTTTACACATAAAATCCACTTGTGTTGATTTGATTGGATAAAAATATATTAAGTATACAAAGTTAAGTACATAAGTCTTTTTTTATCCAAAATACGGAAATGTTTGGTCCTTCTGCCGCTGTCATCATGTAAATTCTCGGATGATGTTGAGATTTTAAATTTAAAATAAAAAAAAAGGTTGCAATGGCAAAGATCTCAGTAATAGGTTTTTTTCACAACAAAATTCTAAGGCGTTATTTTAATGATTGGTGTGTGACATTGAACTTTCAGGATAACGTGTGTTCCTATGTTTCTCTTATGCAGATATTCTAAAGAAGAACACATAAGCTTGCACGAATTCCCCCTGAGAAATTTTACTTTTCTCATAAAGTGAGTTCTTTTAACTTGTCTTTCTCCTCTTTTTCCACAAATAAACTTTTCAACTGTTAAATGATGGGAGAATTACTTTGAGATTCCCCACAACACAGTTAAATATCACAAGGTCAATTAACAACTTCCTTGTGGTATTTAATTCTGTTGTGGGTGGATTTGCGTGTAATTCTCTCATGTAAGTAATCGCTCATATACTAGGCGTAATAATGGGGAAGAGATAATTATCAGTGAGGTATGTAAAGAATTATTTCAGAAATGATATGGTGGAGACAAATTCATGTGTCAATGCTATAATAAGTATTTACAAGAAATTGTTTGGTATATCTGATATTTTTTAAATCTATTTAACAGTGAATGCCCAGTGGTTGATGGGTTCAAGTGTTTATTCAGCGAAGATGGGTTCATTAGAGCCCGTTTTAGATTTGAATTTCCACCGATTGCACTGGTCAGTTGTGGCAATGAACTCAAAAATTGAATGCTTAATGGCTTTGAAATGTAGTTCTATATGATTTTGATCCACTGCAGGTTAAGGAGCCCAAAGTGTATGTCCATGGAAATCAGGAAAACCAAATGATTGTTCAAAAAGATTGGCCAGGGTGCTGATGATCCTTCTTGATAGCTGAGTTTCTGAGCAGTTGATTAGAATTATTGATGGAGTTTATTTGGAGTAAATTTTCTCCTTTCGTATAAATAGTTGATATCATAGCATTTCAAATTGACTTATCATTATTGTCTTTCCATATTTTTATTAATACATATTTAATACTTATTCAGTTATCAAATTCTTGATGCATTCATATTGTAGCAAGTATTGACTGAGGTTTTAAAACTCAGATTGGACCAAACCACCTCTTGGTCCGGTCCAGTCCAACGCTGGAAGGCGGCCCTGAGAGACTTGGTCAACAATCTTGAAGACCAGTTAGAGCAAACTGGTTCATCGCAAATGAACCGGACAATTAAAAGAAAAATAAAAAAAATGAGAAAATCTTAAAAAAATTATTTATTTATTTTTGTTTAAACTCAATTTTTTCAATTTAACTTAAATATGTCTTTAAAATGTGCTTCAAGCATAGGGATGGGAATTCAGGTTAAAAATAGCCTATTTACTACATATGTTTGGGCTTTTAATTAGCTCTATTTAGTTAAGTAGGTTAGGTTTATTATTATTTTTGTAAAGGCTTAACTTATGGACCCAACAAGCTAGCTGCACGCATGTGCGCACACACTCACTGTAATATATCACAAACACATAAGTTTTATTATTTGATTTTTAATCAGTCCATTTTTAAATTTTTAATTATATTTTCAATCATAGTGGATTTATATATTAATTTTAATATTATTTTATTGTTGTATTATAGTTGATAAGTCTTTTCAATTATTATATATTGTAATTGATAAATCAGATTACATATTGTATATTATAATAATCTTAGAGTATATTTGAGACATTTAAAATTAAAATGCAAGCTTATTTAAAAAGTTAAATTTTAAGTAAGTTTTTAAATAGGGTTTTAGAGGCTTTAGATATGCTCAGTTTTGAGCTGTAAAAAGTGCTTTATACAAGATTTTTGACTTATTATATAGGCTCAACTCTATTTAATTAAAATCTAATTTGACCTAATTTACTTTCACCTTAAGTGCATTAACAATGCATGCCCTGGTCTTGAATGGAATAGTTTGACAAATAGTCCATATACCAATTGGATCAATCACTGTCTGTCTTGCTTCTTTTGTGGGAGAAAAATTGGTGTGAAGGTTGATGCTTCGTTGCGTAGTACTTGAGAAATTAATCAATCATACAAAACACAGTAGTGTTGTCATAATACTCTGATGACAGATACCAGGTTTTTATGTCGACCCTTCAAACTAGTCTTTAAACACAAAACACACATAGAAAGTTGTTATGTTAAATGACTAAGTTTTGAATTATTTGGTAGTTGACTTCAGTTTATTTTAATTTCCTTAATTCAAAATCTTGGGACCGTCCATGCTCCAAATTCTTGAAAGAACAACAAATAGTATTATAAAAAAAAGGAAAGAACAACAAATAGTTGATTCTATATTTCATTTATCGAATAACTTATAAGAATTATGCGCTTAAGCAAAAATACTTTGTAGTTAAGATATTTATAGAAGCATTCATGGAAAATATTATTTTCAATCTAACTATTGCTTTCCATGACAACTGCAATTACTATTTTTTTGTTTTTTTGAATGGATGGGATAAGATATATTTATTACTTAAATAGTCAAACAAGCATTATAAGGGGCAATATTGGTTATCCAAAAATACCAATTTGCACCTAGCTATACAACAAAATGATCAATGAAGAAAGAAGCCAAGATAACATAAAGCTTCCTAAGAACATGGTGAAAAATATAGGGTAAGCATTCCTTGGTAATAACAATTTACTTCCAACTTAATAATTTGCGTTTACTTTCCTGTGCATCGCACATACATGGAGCATATACTTGTATTATACTCAATAAAAACTAAAAGAGTTTTACAAATAACTATTACAAAACAACATTAACAAGCCCTACCATGATAATTAATGAAAACTAATGCATAAAGCTTCCCATGGTAGAACGGTTTGAGCGTTGTTTATAGTAACTTCACCATGATGATAGAATAGACAAGCAATGCTTAAAATGTCTGCTATGGTTGAAAAAATGAATTTACTTAGTAATTGGAAAAAAAAATACTCTCATTGTAGAAAAGAATCTATTATGGTAAAAATATTTTTACTTAATAATTTGGAAAACCAAAGAAAAATGCTATAATGGTATAAAAGATGTAAACCAAGTAATTAAAGATCCATTGTAGTAGAGAAGCTTAAACTAATAAAAGAAATAACTACTACAGCAGAAAAGTTTCAAAATACAATCATTAAAGGGCTCACTTTATGACATTATGTTTTGACGTTACGCCACGGTGAACAACACCATCCATGATAAAGCTCCTCTGATTAAAATATGGTTTTTCCCACGTTTGTACCACCGCAACTTGGTTCTACTTGCTATTTATATGGGATTTTCGGATAAACATTATCACATTTGTGTCTAGCTTCCTTCCTATTACACTTGTCAGTTCTTTACATCCTTCTTTCCATAACTTATCATTGTTTGACTCCCATAAGAGGGTTGTGAAACTTAACAATTTATTTTTACCCTCCTTCTCATCTATACTTATAATAACGTTGCAATGATCCTCCCTTCAGTACACTTATCAAATTTTTATTTCCCTGTATGCTCACTCGTCTATTGTAAAAGAACTTATCTATTTGTGTATCATCCTCAAACTCAAAGGAACACTTATTTCAAATTTTCTCAAAAATATCACCCTTATTTACATTGATATCTTTCTCCTTAAAATATCATTCTATTCCAATTAATATTTTTCACATTCTAAAATATATTATTGTTCTTGCACAACACACTTATTTCAATTCATAATATACCCTCGCTAGTATAATTCACCATGTTAGTGACCTATTGAGATCCTCAAAGACAACTTCCTTGCTTCCACTACTACAGAAATTAGACAAAATGATGCCTAATAAATGACGGTTAGAACACCATTTGAAGTGAAATTTGTTGAACTTTGATTTTGATGATCACAAAATAAGAGAAGATTTTGTTCAGCAAGGAAAATTAAATAGGATTAATGACATAAGGGTAACTGTGTTAATTTGCTTGAAATCTGACTAGAGGTTCCTTATTCCCATATAAATCTCTTATACCAAAATAACCAAGAATCTCCAAGTGTTTCAAAGGTTAATTTTCATTGAGATTCCTTTCAAATTTAAGTATTTGACTTATCTTGAATTTTTCTTGGACCAAATTCATTGTTTAAGAAGTATTTCAGGTATTCTAAACTCTTGTTACCTAAGCAAAATCAAAATTTGAAAGCTTCTATGCAATTAAAGCTAAAATGGTCCTTTATTTCGGTACAAGCTTCGTTATATTGGTAGAAGTTTTTCTTATTCTCTTGGCTTCTACGTTATACCTATATAGCCTCTTTATTCCTATATAAATATCTTTGGTTATACTGATATGATTCCTTTACACCAGTATAGTGGCTTATTCCTCTAAATTCTCTCTAGTCTCTGTTTATCTTGTTATTAAGGAAGAGTGACCCTTATTTGGGTATAAATCCTCTTATTCCTGTATAATCTTCTTATATGGGTGTAATTTGCTTTGTTTAGATATAATCTATTATAGTGTCTCATTAATCATCATTTTTTTATGAAGATTTATTCTGATATGATTGAGTTATTCTGAAATAATGAACATTGTGTGAAATTTTTAATCGTTCTTGACTATATTGGTGTCATGGTTATTATTTCAATATAAACATCAAGAAACATGCATTGTTTTATGTGTTCGACATCATGTTCTTTGAAACTCATTATGTATCCATTATTTTCACTTTCTGTGAGTTGTGTTAAGCTTATAATCTTCCTAGAACTCTTTTAAACACAACTTTGGGTAGGATTAAGCTCTTATTAATTCATTAAATATCCTTTATACTCATGTAGCATTGGCCCTACTAGTATAAACCTTACCTATGTTCTGTCAGAGCAATAAATGCAAAGAGTCGTTACTTACCTTGCCATGGTCGCGAAAGTCAGCTGAAAAGCATTGTGCCATTGCATCTTTTTTTGCAGAAAGCAAGGAGAGAAGATGAAGTATTTAATAGCTATACTCATGTGTCTAATGGATCATTCATGAAGATCAATTATAAATAAAAACATTTATGAAGATGGTGAATATAATAACCTAGAAATTTCAAGAAAATTAAAATTTATTTCAATTTGGCCCTTAGAGAGAGAAAAGTTAAGGCAGAAATTGTGTTTGAGTGAAATAAGATTGGTTGAGGTGATGTAAAGTAGTAATTGAATAGTAATGGACCTAAAATAGATAAATGGAAAAGAGTTTATGGATGAATATAGCTCTAAGTAGTAAATATGAGTTTTTGGTTAGAATGGACTAGATGATTAAAATGTGCCAAATGTATTCAGATTGGCATATTGGACATGTGAGTTGAAAAGAAAAGCTTGTGATAAGCTGCTGTGGCAGTTAAAATCCACAAGCAATCTTTCTAGTGACAGAAGGATTGAGGTAACTGAATAACTTTCTTTGTTTGACTGTTTATTGTAACTATGTATGAGTATGCTATATAGTGCATAAACTTGTTTAGGATTAAGCATGTTTTATAATATTGGGTAAACGTTACATGAAATAGCTGTTGATTGAATAAAAGCATTAAAATAGGTGTTTTCAAATGGTATGTTAATATATATGCTATGCATGAGAAAATGTATAAAGTGATAATAAGGAGCCTTAAATAGTTTGAAAAGCATGATCATAGGGGTGGGAGTTCACTCAAGTAAAGAGGTGATGATAAAGACCATATGGCATGCTCTCCTTAGTGCTTGATAGGATATGGTGTTAGAGACAATTCTCTTTAGTGCCTTACAAGGTACGGTGTTAGAGAAGATTTCCTTAATGCCTATTGAGGTACGGTGTTGGAGATGTGAGACTCCTTAGTGTCTATGTGATACGGTGTTAGAGTTAACGACACCCTATTATGTGTATTGGGGGAAATCATAGTCTGTTTGTGTGATAAAACATCTTTGGCTGGGTGATTCTACCACTATAAGTGAGCTTAAGGCCAATGAGATGTACATTGGTCTAAGGTAAGTCTATGGTTTTGTGTCAGGGTGATTTAGATGTTTGGTCAATAGTGATTATGTTATGAGATGATATGGAATGCTATGTGAAAGTGGTGAAAAGTG